GCAATACTGGTACCTACCTCGCAGGCTTGTCGTGAGCATCAGATTAGATAATAGATCGACAAGAATGAGATCCTCTCTCCTCATTATTGTTGTTCTCCGGTGAGGTTAACACCAGCCTCGGCTCTGTTCCTTGTTCCCCCACATAGCATTTTTGTTTTGTTTGCAGCCAGGGTTCCAGGGATGATCCAGAACTCAAAAAGGGTAGAGACCGTCTGAGCAGGCTACGGGGCCTGGTTGGCAGAGCAGGCATTGATGCACACCTGGAGGCCGACGTGCATGCCCTAATCTGCTGGCCATATAATGAACTGCTCAGAAGTCGGGGGGTTCAGACGGATTGGGGAGCACAGTACCGATCCCTTCCAAGCCGTCGGAATTCCTACTTTGCCTTTGGCTTGCCCTCTTTGATTTTAGGCAGAGCCACCAAGTCTGAGCAGCCCCCACTCTCTTCTTCCTGCAGTCCCACTCCCTTCAGGACAGAACCCTGGGGGCACCCACAGGCAGGGAGAGGAGTGCAGATGAAGATTCAGCAAAGGAGACAGAGGAGGAGAACCAGGAAAGAGTTGGGTGAGGTGTCCCAAAAACCTAGAGAGAAGAGAATATCTAGGAGAAGAGGGTGATCCACAGTGTTCATGGCTGTGGAGAGGCCAAGGAGGATGAGGATGGAGAAGAGGCCACTGGATTTGATGACTAAGAGGTCCCTGGTCACTTTGGAGAGAAGCTTCAGTGGCATGATGGGATGGAAAGCCAGATTGGAAGGGGTTAAGAAGAGGCACCTTTTCCAGGACTCTGGCCACAAAGGGCAAATGAGATATAGGATGACAGGGGGACGGAAGGCTCAAAGGAGGGTCTTATCAGGATGGGGGAGACTCAGGCATGTTTGTGGGCAGGAGGGAAGGAGCCAGCACCAGGGAGGGACCTAGGGAAGCATCACTGCCAGCATCTCTAGAGCACGTGACCCACATTATCTCTTTGCTCCTTAAAGTGAACTAGGCGCTATTATTAGCCCCACTTAACCATCTGGAAACAGGCTGAGAGTGAGGAGTGACCGGTGCAAGGTCCCGTAGCTAGTCACTGCTTGAGGAGAGATTCAAACTCAGGTCTTCGAGTTTCCAAGCCCAGCTGTCCATCCCTGGGGCCCAGAGAGGTGGGGGAGAGGGGCCCATGGGACTTGGCCTAAGGTCATGCAAAGAGCCTAGTCAGTTATTGAGCTGCGCTTTGGACGCAGGTCCAGGCCTCTTGGGGTTCCCTGATTATGCATTCTGCAGGACAGGCGGGGTGGCAGGTCCTTTCTCCTTAGCTCAGTAGGAAAACATCCTTCAGAAGAGGCCCCCAGCCAGCGGCCCAAATCTTGCCCTTGTCCATGGTACTGAGCCCTAGGAGTGGAGTGGGGGGAGGTGGCTGAGCTGGAAGTCCAGGTGAGGCAGACTCCTCAGCCCTGTCCCAGGCTGGCTGGCATCCAAGGGCTCCTTTCCAAGCCAACATCACCCCGGCATGACAACAACAACAACAAGGATAGCTAGCATATACATAGATTTGGAAGCGCTCCACAAATGTCTTATCACTTGGTCCTTACAGTAACCCTAGGAGGGAGGTGCTACTAACATCATCCCCATTCCACAGATGAGGAAATGGGGGCCCAGAGCTAGTCCAGTTTGAGGCCAACTGGAATTCAGGTCTTCTTGACTCCAGGCCCAGCACAGTGCTTGGCACACAGTAGGTGCTTAATAGATGCTAAGTGAGACACACACTCAGGCTCCCCAGGAAGTTGCCCCCACACAGACCCCAGAGATTGGGGTCTCCCCCAGCCTCAGGGTTAGTGCAAAGAGTGGGGGGAAATTGGGGCTGGTGAAGTCATTTTTGAACTGCATAAATGTGAATTAGGGCCCCCTCCCTCCCTCCAATGCTGAATCTGCCTCTGAATCTCTAGGCTCTGACAAGTGAGCAGGACATTGTGTGCCATCTCCGCCCAAGCCACTGGGTCACCATAGGGCTAGAAAAGACCTCAGAGGTCACCAGAGGAGGAATGGAGACCCAGGGATTGCCTAAGGTCAGTCAGTCAGTCAATACATATTTATTAAGTGCCTACTATGTGCTAAGCCTGGAGATTCAAAGAAAGGCCAAAACACTGTCTCTGCCCTGGAGGAGTGTGCATTCTAATGGGGGAATGTGTAGACAGCCAGATGTATAACAGATGGCTACAGTCTAGACCTAGGTCATCTGAAAGGGGAAGTGACAGGGCTGAGGTTTGAAGCCCAGACTTCTCACTGTGTGCTGATTGCCAAAGGTAATCTCCCTGGGGAGAGGGGCAAGATTTGGGAGCTGGAGGCTTCATAACAAGCAGTTGGGAGTAAGAAAGAGGTGGGATGGTGGGCTCTGGGGTCAACCTGGGGCTTAGGGAGTGCCCAGGGCCATGGTCCGGAATCTGGCTTGGTCTTTGCTTGGTGGTCACTGCATAGCCATGTGGCTTCTGAGAAGTCAGCGCTGTCTCCAGAGGTTTCTGATTGCAACCCTCCCGCCCTGGGAAAACCTTTTCCACCTCATCCACACAAAGTGAGGATCTCCGTTTATTTATAAATCATACACACCTACCTCTGTACTAATAATCATATGCAATGTAAAACCTACACAAAGCAGAAATTTAAAATAGGTGATGAAGATGAAGTAATATTGTGGAAAAATTTTATTTATTCACAGTACAAAAGCATTTTTGCTCTCACTAAAATATCCTGAACTAAAATGACCAATCATGGCATTTTGGATGAGAATCACATGAATGAGATGCATCAGTGTTTTTTGGTGACCTTGGTCTAACCCTGCTGAGATAGAGTGGTTCAGTGACAGAGTCTAAGTGGGTCATTTGGGGGTCCTTGGTTTCAAAGGCTGCCAGAGCCCATGAAGAGAAGGCCCAAAGACCCAGAGGGAAGCCTTGCCCCACTGGATGAGTGACTCTCATTTCTCAATCCTATCCACCAACCATGCATGGGTAGGTCTTTGTCGAAATTCAGTGAGCACCCTTCAGTCTCCCTCAATGTTGTTCTTACAAACTACTTGGAAGGCATTGCATTTTTATATTTTTATAAATAAAAGGGATTTTCTAAATGAGTTCAAAGTTTATTGAAAACGTTTGGAACATTAAAATGGGGAACTCGCTCGTGGAAGAGGAAGCCCTCATGTCCACTGGGGCCAGTGCCTTCTCTGTGACTGATGGCCTCTCTTCAGGAATGGCCTGAGAGGTGGTCCTTGTCCAGGGCCCCCCAGCCAGGGGGCCTAGATCTTTCTCATTCTAAGGCCAATTGTCTCCCTACTAACACACTGGCTGCCTCTACGCATGTAGGAACATTTTCACAGGCCACAGATCATCTGGAGTAACCCAGAGAAGAGGGAATGTGATGGACAGTGTCAAAGGCTATTGAGGATCCCAGAAGGATGAGGACTGAAAAAAACATTGGATTTGGCCATAAAGGGATTGTGGGTGACTTCAGAGGGGAGTTTCAGCTGAATAAAATGAGGAAGTTCAGGAGACAGGCAGTTTCAGGGAAAGATAATGTCATGAGATCTGCAATGCATCCTCTCCTTGCTGACTCACTCTTTCCCACCAAAACGTGTGGGGAGTGGGGAGCAGGAAGTGAGGAGAAATCTTACTGCCCCAGAGTTGAGAGCACAGCTGCTATGGGCGGGATTAGGGTATAACCACCCTGAGGTACCAACGCGGGCCATTGGTAGGGAATGTTGAGCAATCACGGCACGGTTGTGCTGATGACAAGCCCAGTAGGAGGGCTTCTGGTTGAATGGACACACGGCCCCCACTGTGCAAACCCCTGGCCTAGAGGAGACCAGGTCCAGGAGCAGACTCCCTTCCTTCCCTCTTCCTCATATTGGCAGGATTTGAACCCATCTCTCAGATGAAGGGACAGGCTACCCTTGTGCTCACAAGCAGCAGTATAGAGGAGGCTCCCTTTATTGGCGTTTATCATTTGGGCCCCTCAGTTTCAGTTCAGTGTGGATGGCCCACAGCGCCAGCTGCTGCTGGGACCCCAAACAACTGGGACATTTGACAGCCTTGGGTTTGACTCCAAGAAGAAACTGGGAAGGCCAGCCTCTTGTGCTTAGCTAACCTTTGGGGCACCAATCCAGGCGCCTGCACTTCAAATGTGCTTAAAATGACATCAGGTAAAAAAACGGGACAGTGCCCCTCTGTCCCCTGGCCCTGAGGCCAGAACACAGAGGAAGGCCTGTTGCCGCCCAGGTGCAGAGAGGGGGATGCCCTGGTCACTTCTGCAACCTCCAGGGGAGTCTCAGAGGGCAGCCTCAGGCCCTCACTGGGAGACCTCTCCACGTCTCCCTACAACAGTAACGATGAAATGACCTTGTCCAGACCGTGTCCCCCACGTCAGAATGCAGCCTCCCTCCTAGAGTGTGGAAGCATCCTCTTTTGCCTTCATTTCCCCAGCCCCCCAGCCCCTGGCCTGGGCCTGGTGATTGGCTCTGGCAGGCACCTACCACATGCTGCTGAATGAATGAATGAATGACGAATGGAAGAGTGAAGAGGAGAGAGGCTGAGATCTAGTGAGAGCCAGGGACGACGCTGATGATGCAGACGGCAGCGGAAGGGGCAGAGAGGCCCCTGGCGTCTCCGCTTGGATTGAAGGTCCTCTCCTCGCCTCGTTCAGTCGAGACTCTACCAGCTCATAACATAGGCTACGTGATTAATTACAGTCGTTTTGAATGAAGGAATGAAGGAGGAAAAACCCAGACCTGAGAAGGGGCCCGGCTCCTCCAGGACTGCGGCCTCTATGGTCGCTGTCTTTGCAAAGAGAGGACGGTTTTGGTCAGCCATGCCACGGCCCATGCATGGTGCGGATCTGTGTCTTGCCCCGTAGATACCTCGGCACGTCTCACTCCTCTTTATGGGGTGCACGGTCAAAGTGTTCTCCCTCAGGGAGTCAGCCAGTCATTCCTGCTCTCTCCTGACAATCTCAGGGCATCGTGGGGTCCGATGACGGTCACCCCCAGTCAGTGTGTGCGGAGCACCCCCAGGGAGCCTGACTCGGTGCTCACTAACGGCACCTCCCCGCAGACGGGCTGGCCCCAAGGCTTCACTGAGCGGCAGCTGTCGGGTGGGCTTGTCGGCCTGGACCCTCCTGGGCTGGAGCTCTGGGCATCTCCACACTGCCTTTGTTCCACGGAACATCTTCAGAGTCCCACTACGGACAGAAGACACAGGGTCATCAGGCCTCTGCTCCCTGCCCTCTTATGCTTCCCTGCAGGCACCTCTGGGGATTCCGTACAGAGCCCACCCCAAAGCCAAGGCAGAGGGAGCAGACCCGGGGCTGCTTGGGCAGGGACCCAAACACAAAACACATGTGAGCCGTCACTGCCAACCCTTGGCTGAGCCGCCCAAAGTCACCAGCAAGGCATCTAAGACTCAGGGATCTGGAAAATCTGCCAACATCCCCATTTTACAGGGAAGGAAACAGGCTCAGGGAGCAGAACTGACTGGCCCGAAGTAATACAGGCGGGAGTGTGATGTGGCAGGACTCTGATCCCGGGCCCCAGACCCCAGATCCAAGGTAGAACTCGCTTCATTCTGCTTATTCACCAAATAGAAAAAAAAAAACCCAGACAAAGGCTAAGCTTGGTTGGGAGGGATAGGGTCTCCATCTGCAGTTACTGGTACAGGGAACTCCTGGACGGGGACGCCCTCCACGCATGCAAGTCAGCACCTCCTCTGCAGTATAGTACTAGAGATCCGCCCAAGAGGTTCAGTGACTTGTCCAGGGTCACACACTCTACGTCAGAAGCAGGATCTGAACCCAGGCCTTCCTAGCTCCAAGGTCCACTTTCCGTCCACCATGACAGTGTGGAAATATGTCTGAATGATGGATGACATCGCCCATCTTCCTCCAAACCTTCTACTTCCTGGCTATTCTGCTGACCACACTCCATTTTTTCCCACCTCCGTGCATTTACACAGGGTAGCTGCCCCTGCCTGGAGAGCCTTCCCTTCTGCATCTTGGCCTGATGACTCCCATCTTCCCATGCCCCCTCTTGGAATTCCTACCTTCCTCTACAGGGCCCATGCCCTGCTGAGGTCCAGTTGCCCCTCCCCATTAGGCTGGGAGCTCCCTCCACATGGCACAGGCCTGGCATCCAGGGTGCCCGGGTGGAGTGTTTGTGGAGTGGCTGACTGAATCTTCTCCCAGAACCAGCTCAAGTCCCCCTCCTCCAGGGAGGCTCCCCTGCCCTCCCAGGTCCACACAACCCCTCCCTAAATGGGCTCATTTCTTGGGCTGGAGCTGGTCCCTTTCCCAGATGGAATCACCAGGGTTTCTGACTCCTGACAAAGCACGAGGAGGATCCTCCAGACTAGGTGGGCCCCAGGCACTGCATGGATCATCTCCATTTCACAGAGGAGGAAACAAAAATCTTCCAGGGCTTACCCGCGGTCACAGAGCTAGTAAAGGTCTGAGGCAGGATTTGAACCCAGGCTCTCAGTCCTCCCTCACATGAGGCTGCTTTGATCTTTTTTCAAGAACTGAGAATTTTTAAAGACCAAGTTGGAATTCAAGGAAATGTCCATCCATCCTTCCATGAGCATGATTGCCCAAAGTGACTGTGACCCCAGAAGGGCTCAAGGCAGCTCACGGGCAGCAAGTCTAGTCCTCTGTCCCAAGCCAGGCTGCCCCTGCAGCCCCTAACCTGGGTCACCACAAGTGACCTTGCCTCCAAGGCCAACGGGCAGCTTCTGATCAGCCTGGCTGGAGAGGGCAGAAGAGAAGGAAGCCAGTCACTGGTCTACTGGTGGTGAGCAGCCCAGGCCCCCTGCCCACGCACCTCCTCCTTCTGACCCTTCACCAGCCAATCTGGAGCTCTGTCCTTCTCAGGCCCTATGTGGGCACTGGTCAGGCTGCAGAGAAGGAGGTGGGTATGAAGACCCCAGGAGCATACCACATGAGGACTGACTGCCCGATGAGGAAGGGCTCTCCTGGTCTGGAAAGGAGGGAGGATCGCTGCAGAAGGCAGTGGGGAAGCCAGATAACAGGAGCTGTCCCAGAGTGGGATGGGTGGCCCGGGAGAGCAGAGCACACCGCAGCAGAAGGCCGAATGACCATTGGCTGGCCCACGTGGGCAGGGGGCAGATCCTCCTTCCAGGGTGGGTTAGATTACGAGCTACCACGGCTCAGGTGAGAGACACTGAACCTCAAGACTAGAAGCCCTGGGTTCGAACACCACCTCTGACAGTTATTCCCTGTGGGACCTCGGGCGTCTTAATCCCTAGATCACCTCACCTATAGAACAAGGTTAACAGTACGGCGTCGGGCTTGGTGGCAGGAAGATCTAAGTTCACATCTGGCCTCAGATGCTTACCAGCTGTACGACCCCGGGCAAGTCACTTACCCACCATCTGCCTCAGTTTCCTCATCTGTAAAATAGGAATAATACTTGCACCTACCTCTCAGGGTTATTGTGAGGATGGAATGTGACAAGATGTGTAAACCACTTAGCACAGTGTCTGGCACACAGTAGATGCTTTGTAAATGTTAGTTATTATGTTATTATTATTATTACTATTATCATCTCATGGTGGTGCTGGGTGGCGTGGAGGAGACGACATATGTAAGCTACTTTGTCTGCTTTAAGGCACTTTACCAGGGCAGTAATTGATTATTAAATGGTGCCTGGGTCCCATCCAAGTCTGGGATTGCGGGATGTGGGGAGCGCCAGGCTGAGATCCCGCCCTGGCCTCCGCTTACCCTCGGGACGGTGAATGCGAAGGCACCGGCCCTGGAGAAAAGACTTGGGGAGACCCAAGAGCTGTCGCCCAGCATTTGAAAATGGCTGTCGTGAGCAGCTGGACCTGAGCGTCAGGGCAGCACAGCCAAGCAGCCAGGGCGCCGGAGCCTATGGCAGGAAGACCTTGGACACTTCATAGCTCTATGACCCTGGACAAGTGACTTCACTTGGTGCTCAGGGGACTCAAACCTAAGACCATAAGGGTAGATAAGCAGTTGGCACATGTCAGTGGAGGGAGATTCCTCACCAGGACATCCCCCACACCAACTAAGTCAAGGTCAGGACCAAACCACTTACAAGGGCTCCCAGCGGACCCCACGGGGAACACGAGGCTTTCCCCGCCTCGCCTTGAGGGATCCTCGGGGAGCAGCCACTGGCCCGCGCACAATGGGTGCACTGATCTTGGCACGTGAACCCTTCCTCTGACCCGCTTTCCTAGGATGTGACTACAAGGGTCAACGCCTCCTCTTGGCAGGGTCCTAGGGAGAGCAAACCCCTCCAGGAGAATGCTGCCCAGACCCCGCTGACTGCCTGGTGGCTTTTCCTCTGTTCAGGGAACTGGATGTGACCTTCCCCAGCCCCCCAAAGGTCTGAGAAAACACAGGCCCCAGATCCTCCCAGAAGAAAGGGAGAAGTCTCCGTACCTGCTCCGAGTTCAGGGCCTCCCAATACTTCTGCTGTGGAAGGAAGAGAGAGATGGAGAAGAGAGGTGACCAGTTTTACCATCACCAGGCAGAGGAGGAGGAGAGAGGGGTTGGGGGGAGGGTGAGTGGGGAGGCCCAAGGTTGGCAAGTACCTATTAGCCAAGGGAAGTGGGTGCAAGTGAGAATTGTGACCATCAGCCTGCATTCAAAGGAGAGCCATAAACATCTGTCACAATAATCATTAGCCCCCTGGTTGTTAACTGTGGGATGGAGTGGGGCTGATTCAAGACTGTAACATTAGAAAACAGAGAGGGCAAAGAAGACCAAAGAAATCCACCCAGGAAGGTGGAGCTTTCTGGCACCCCAGGAGCCCTGCTGGCCGCAGAAGAGGTTCTAGGCCAAGCTTCCAAAATGCCCGAGGCCGGCAAAGATGAAGAGCCCCAAGCCGGGGTTCCACAGTCTGCACCCAGACTTTGCCTCTCCACCCCAAGAAGGCATCTGAGAAATGGGCCCATCTGGCGGCTCCCAGCTTTGGCATCAGAGCCAATCCAGATCAGACGAACATTTGGGTGCCCACTGTGTGCCAGAGTAAATGAAAACTGGACCCTGGCCTCAAGGGGCTTCCGATTCACCAAAGCACAATGCCCAGCTGGATGGGGGAGCCCCACAGAAGAACATGGTAAAGTCAGGATGCAGACCGAGGTCCTTGGGGCCCACATTCAGGATCCCCTGCCCCGGGCTGCACCAAAAACTACCATCTCTGAGCCCTTGCCAAGGGCTAGAAAGGAAGGACCAAAGGGGCAGCAAAAACAAATGAACTGCCCCAAGAAAGTAGGAGGATACAGTCGCCCAGATCTAGCCCAGGCCAGCGTGGAGGCCACCTGCAGCCTTGAGGCGCTGGCCTGGGGGCTCGCATCACAGCAGGGGGTGGGAAGGCCAGGCCAATGACCAGGGAAGTCGAGCCCCCCACGTTCCCTCCGCGGTGTGGGAAGGCTGCCCACTAGTGGAGGAGGGCCACACTTCAGAGAGCGCTGGGTCTGTCAGCCCTGGACAGCGAGATCCCTTCGTCTGGTAGATAGGACGCTCGGACCCAGAGGGTTTCGGTCATTTGTCTAAAGTCACCCAGCCGGTTAGCGGCAAGATCAGGACTGAATAATAACATTCACCTGTAGAACATCAGCCCTTTTGAGGAGGGACCACTTCATTCTTTGTCCTTGTATGTCCAGCCCCTATCTCAGTGCCTGGTACACAGAAGTCACTTAAATGCTTAGTGATTGATGTTCCCACAGTTTAACACCCCACCCCCCACCCCCATTTCTATGTGGAAAAGCCTGAGGATCCCCGCTCTCATTTTGTGGCCGAGGACCAAACAAACCTCCAGGGACGTCAGCTTCCCGATTTCGTGCAGAGGCCTTCCCTCAGACCCAGCCCTCCTTCACCCATTTCAGCCAATCTTCAGTTTTGGTTTTTTTGTTTTTTGTTTTTTCCTTTTTTTGGTGAAGCAATCGGGGTTAAGTGACTTGTCCGGGGTCACACAGCTAGTAAGTGTCAAGAACTCACATCCTCCTCACTCCAAGGCTCTATCCACTGTGCCACCTACCTGCCCCTTTGGCCAGTCTCTGGTTAAACCTGACCAAGAACACGTCCCCGCTTTCTCTACTATTTCTCTCACAAGATGCACCCTGATTTCTGCGGGGAAGGAATCACATGATTGCCCGCTCCCCCCTCAGGGGCCTCTGAGGTCCCTGTCATCTCTGGCATGTCAGGGGTAGGATTGGAACTCGGGTCTTGGGATTCCTTGCTCAGCACTCTCCCAGGCTGCTGCCCCCATGGAAGAACGAGGCTCAAGGTCACACTCTCACTTAAGCCCTAAGGGCTAAATGATTGACCCACTCCTTGGAGCAGGGCCAGGCAAGGTCCACTTTAACCTAAAGGCAAAGGGGCCGGCTCCTTCCCTGCCCTTCTGCAGCAGGCAGGCTTCATTCAGAGGTCACTGAGCTTCCCCAGGGGGGAATCCAGAAGGCAGAGGAGCTACATGTCCAAGGAACGGCATCCCCACGCCCCCAGGCAGGGCTCTTGGCCTGGGGGGGGGACGTCCTCCCATCTCAGATGGTGGGAAGTGGGGCAGAGGGAAGGGGCCAGCCGGCAGACACTGCCCCTCTCAGCCCCTTGGATGCATCTCCCAACACTGGGCCGCAGGCTCCTCTGGGTTTGCCCAGCTCCTCCCAATGAGGGGATTAATACCAAAGGGGAGACCCCGCACTGATGACCCTGACCGATGCCTCCTCCCGTGGGTGGTAGCACTTAACTCTGTCTCCCAAACTCTGGGATCATTTCCTAGGTTGTAAAGCCCTGCAGGGCAGGGACCCAAGTCGGTGCTGATCCTTCGGGCCCCAGCCCCAGCTCCATCCCATTCCAGACAACAATTCTAGCTGCTGAGGCCCTCGGGGACAGGGCCAGGTGAGCTAGGGAAGGGCAGGGTCAAGGCCACGGGCCTTGGCTCTGGTGAAACCCAGGGAAGCCTCTGGGGCCAGCAGTACCAACGTGTGCTGGGCCTGCACAGTCAGAAGAGAGGTGCCGTGGAAGCTTGGACAAGCCGCTCTGGGCCTCACTTTCCTCGTCCACAAAATGGAGGGTTGGGCCAAGTGGCCTTGAAGGTCCCTCTGAGCCAAGCATGCTCAATTCTGGGGCAAAGCATAAGTCTTGGATCTGATTTTGTCCGTGGCCCTGACAGGGCCTGACTGTGACTGGAAAACCCACGGACCCCATCCGTCCTGCGATGGGGGGCCGGACCCCACCCCCTCCCCAGCCAGAGCTGCATAGAGGGGCGCCAACCACGCCAAAGACTTCTGGGACAGTGCTGCCTCAGACCCCAGAAGGAAAGGAGCTCCCACCCCTTCACACAGTGACTGAGTGGCTGGCTCTCGGAGGCTTCCAGCCCCACGCCCAGCGGCCGTTTTTGCCACAGTCAGCAGAAAGTCAGCCCCCACCCCCTAACACAGGGTATGTGCTGCTCCGCGGGACCATGAGGACAGCAGGCTCCTGAGCCCCCATCTAACAGGAGGGCTGGATTTCTGCCGAGCCTGCCACAACGCTGCGGGGCCTGCTCCCAGGGACCAAGCTGCAGGCTGGATGCTGGCTGCTTTAGCAAAGCTGACTGGCCCAGCGGGACCGTGCCCCGGGCTCTGGTCTTGCCAGCACAGGGCTCAGAGGACTGACCAGTCCAGCAATGGCTGGACATAAGGGTGAAGCTTCCCCTGGGGCTCGAGGCTAGCCGGCAGTGCATCTGTTTGACCCAACTCGGTTCTGCTTACAATCTCACAGCCATCTCAAGCTCCTGGGCCAGGGCTAGGAGGGTGTGGGGGCCAGCCACCCATCCAGGGCTCCCGGGAGGGTCCCTGGAGCAGCGGTGACCCAACAGGAGAGGGCCACTGGGTCACCCAGCAATGCCAGGGAGGGGACACCTATCCTCTGCTCTCTCCCTTCCCCTGCTCACTTGTCCACACATTCCACGGAACCAACTACCCAAAGAAGTCATTGTGCCAAGGGTCCCCCTCGTCTCCAGCCCTGAGATATGCATCGCACCCGTTGGCGGGGCCTGGACCCAGAGAGGGAGCCGGTCTCCTCCGCCGACTCCCGGCCTTCCTGTGGAGGCCTGCTGCTCCCCGGCCTAAGGGCCTAAGAAGGTCTGAGAGAGTCCGGATCGGGCCACAGATCACAGCTGCAGTCTGCAAGGTGGCCCAGAGCTGAAGGGGCTCTCCAGCATTTCAGAACAAAGCCAGATGGGAGCACACACTCTGGACGAGCCTTCGGGGAGGGGGCCCTGGGCCCTGAGACCAATGAACAAGGCCAGGAGCCAGAGAACACCCCCCTTGCACCCCTCCCAACCCCTGTCTGGGCACCTGCCTACCTCCAGCTCAGAGCTGATGGAAGACGCCTCTGAGGAGCTGGTCGACGACACGTTGGCGTGGATGACCCGGATGGGGGGGTAGGCAGGGGGCTCCAGCAGGGATGGGGTGGCTTGGACGAATGGGTCCCCGGCGCCTGTCTGGTCGTCCCCCGGGAACCTCGTGGTGCTGCAGCCTACCTGGACAAAGTGTGGACGTGGAAAGTGTGGAGAGGCCTGGGAAGGCTGACCAAGCCAGCTTTCCCGCAGTGTCTCAGGGAGGTCCATGAGAGAACATTCATTGTGGGGCTGGCGACACAGGGGAATCAGCGAATGAGCTGGAAGGGCCCCAACCTCCCCATCTTACAAAGGAGGAAACTGAGGCCCAGAAGCCTACAGCTGTTAAGTAGCAGGGTCAGGATTTGAACTCAGCTTCTGTGTCCCCCAGTCCTGCGCCCTCTCTACTGCACCACACTCCCTCCTCCCCCTCCTCCTTTCTCTCCCCTCCTCCTCTCTGTGGCCCTGGGCAGCTCATGTGACAAGGCAGCTGAGGGCAGCAGGAAAGAGCCCATGCCAAGCCGGCTCTCACTGAGAGCACAAGGCACCTGAAAGCTGAGCCGGGGCCGGCCTGGGGCACAATGCTGACTTGGAAACCTAAGCAGGCACCGTGGGGAGGGAGGGAGGCCAGGCGCCTGTGACTCAGCGGCTTTGTGGGCTCAGTTGCCAGCTCTCGTCCTGGCGGCCACCCACACCCAGCCCTGTGTGCGCCCCTGACCCTCTGAGGCAGCCTTCAAGGTCAGCTAGGCTGCTGCCCACCCTGACTGGGCCTGCCAAGGGTCACCTCTGCTCTGCTGGGAACCAGGCCGGGAATGGGGAGATGACCTCCTCGCAAGCCCATCCCAGGGCTCAGTCACTTTTGTTTGTTTGTTTTTTGGTGAGGCAACTGGGGCTAAGTGACTTGCCCAGGGTCACACAGCTAGTGTGTGTTATGTGTCGGATGCCGGATTTGAACTCAGGTCCTCCTCCTGACTCTAGGGCCGGTGCTCTATCCACTGGGCCACTGGGCTGCCCCATCAGCCACTTTTTGTCAGGATATTTTCCCTGTGGGCCTTAGTTTCCTCCTGGAAAGTGAGGGGGTTGGCTCAGATGGACTCTGAAGGTTTCTCAGGTCCATCTCTGACCCTTTCATTCATAAATCCTACCTCTGACACTGAAAAGCTGGACCTCTAGGAGCAAATCACCCCCCCCGGGGCGTCCTCAGTTTCTATCTCTGTAAAATGAGGCCTGTCTGTGCCGTGATGATCTAGAAATCCTCCCTGGGACGCTGTCTGACCATGGACAGGTCACTTGAGGCCTCGGTTTTCAGTCTGTAAGCTGACAGGCTGCAGCGGAGGGCCCTTCTGGCTCTGCTTCTGGTCCTCACACCTGTCTCAGGCACCTCCACCTTAGGGTCCCCCCTCTACAGGTCGGGGTGGCCTCCCCATAGGGGATGTGACAAGCCTCCCCCTCCCCCTCCTCCACTTCTGTGCTGTGATCAGTATTAGCAGTACTAATTCAGTATCCTCAGCAGATTTGCTCCAGGGAAGGGAATCCCATGTGAATGGCTGGTACTACCACACACCCAGAACTTTAGTAATGGGACAGGCCTCTGAGGCCACCTAGTTTAGCTGCTTCATTTTTCAGGTGAAGAAACTGAGGCCTGGAGAGGTTCAGTGACTGCTCAAGGTCGGCAAGCATTTATTAAGCACCTACTATGTGCCAGGCACTGGGCTGAGTGTTGAAGCTAAAAGTCAAAACTCTATTCCTGCTCTCAAGGAGCTCACATTCTAATGAGGAAGGAAGGCAGGAAGACAAGAAGCATTTATTACAAAACACCTACTATATGCCATGCCCTGGGCTAAGCATTTTACAAATGTTATCTCATTTGATTCTCTGGGAGGTAGGTGCTATTATTATCCTCATTTTACAGTTGAGGAAACTGAGGCAGACAGGGGTTAAGTGATTTGCCCAGGGCCACACAGCTAGTGTCTGAGGAAGGCTTTGAACTCAGGTCTTTGTGACTCCAGGTGCAACACACTGTCCACTAGACCACCAGCTGCCTCAATGCCAACTGAGATCATGTTCTCATGGACCCTGGAACCACACTGCCCTCCCCCTCATCTCAGAACGGAAAGGACAGTTCTTTTCCTAATAACGCGCCTGTGCCTCATGTTCTGCTCTGTCTTATCCTCAGATCATGAAAGAGCCTCAGGGTGAAACCAGTCTTTAGCTGACTGAAATCACCCCAGGCCTGGCACCTTGGACAGTCCCTGAGGGATGAACAAGGACACATCCTTTCCTGAGGGACCCCGGCGAGCAGACAACCACCACAGGCTTGGCCATGCTCCATGCCAGGGACAGGCCACATTTCTGGGCCCCGGGGGCTGAGCCCTCCAATACCAACATGCATGGCAGGAAAACTCTCAGAAGGGGAAACGAGGGCAGAGCCAGAACTAGCAGGGGCAGGCCAGGCTCTGCCCCAGGGGCCACGCGGTAGGGGCACTTCCTCAGGCCCACCCCCTCGCACATGATAAACACCTGACTGTCATCTGGCTAGGAGGCTCGGGCTGCCACAGCCACCTCCTGGGGTCTGGGCCCCGGGGGTCAGCCCGTGCTCTCCTCCCATCCACAGTCGGTTCACCCCCCTCATCCAGATCCTGTCCTCTTCTCCTCTGCCTTTCTGTGCCTTCACCTGGTGCTCAGTCTGTGATGAGACTTCTCAGCCCTACTTATCCCACCTTCTCTTTTAGCCAGCCTCGCATCTCCACCTCTTTGAGGTGCCTCTTGGACCCCTCAGATGGACTTCCTGTAGACAGCTTAAATTCCACATGGCCAAATCTGGACTCGGTGCCATTTTCCTAAAGCCTCCCCCTCTGCCTGCCTTCCCTATTACGCGCACAGCACCGCCATCCTCCCCTTACCGAGGCTCTCAGCCCCAGGGTCATTCTCGACTCCTTCCTCTCTCTCACACTGCCCCCACATCCCAACATTGCCAAGGCCCCTGCTCGCCTGATCCTGCCACCCCCTGGTCCATGCCCTCATAGCCTCCCGCTTGGACTACGGCGGTAGCTGCTGGGGGGGGTGGTCTGCCTGCCTCAGTCTCCCCCTCCTCCAGCCCATCCTCCATTCGGCTGAAGCACGGCTCTGAGCACGTCACCCTTTCTTCAATAAACCCTAGAGGTTCCCTAACTTCCAGGAAAAAGAACGTCTTCTGAAGTTCCTCATACTCGGGTCCCTTCCTGCCTCTCCAGGCGTCCCTCACGCGCTGTTTGATTCAGTGACCCCGGCCTTCTCAGCTCCAGACTTCCTTCCTTCTGACCCTCCACTCCCACGGCCTCTGTCTTCAGCCTACCCCAAGGGTCCCCGGGCCCAAACAGCAACTCTCTCCACCAGCCCCTGAATCCGTCCCTGGGACCAGCTTCCCTCCCCCTCGCCTGTCCCCTCCCCGGCCCCCGGGCTCACCTCTTGCACGTGCTCGATGGTCAGCTCCACGTAACGGCCAATGGCCGCCATCTTCTGCAGATACTTGGTGTGGGGGAGCACGTGGAGAGGGACCCAGCTGGAGTTCTTGGGAGGGAAAAGAAGGGGGAAGGGAAGAGCACAGAGTGAGGTGGTCAGGTCAGAGTTTCGGTGAACTTTGGTCTTTCTGAAATCAATCACATTTCCCCTTGACTAGTCCTAAGTTCTGCCTGTGCGGTCTGGCCGTTTCAGTCGTGTCTGTCTCTTTGTGACCC